AATTTATTTTCTATTTGTATATATTCATGGGGTACAAGTGCAGTTTTGCTACGTTGGTGTATTGCATTGTGATGAAGTCAGAGACATAAGGGCAAGGGCATCTGTCACTGGAGCAGCACACCGTCCACTGTCTTTAGACTCAACAGCTTCCTCCTTTGTCATACACCCTTTAAGGACATTCTTTCCTCCAGCTGTACCACCATGTTGCTTCTATTTTATGTGGAGTGCTCTTATCCTGGGGCTTTCCCACATTTTAATTATTTCTTTATGTGTCTTTCTCCAACCTTGGTCCTACTGTGGTCCTTTCTGGAGATAAGTGTTTTATTTTTCTGTGTATCTCTAGATTTAGTACAGGATATAGGGAATACTGTAGACATTTAATTGTTACTGAAAGAGTGTAGGGGAAGGCAATAACTTGGCTTCATAGTGTTAAGTGTGGAGAGATTGGAAAACTACTGTTTTGCACCCATGTTAATCAAGAGTGGGTTCAGGCAAGAATTGTCAATGGATGTTAAATCTAGGGTGGAGACCTTGATGAGCAGGATATTTGCATGGTCTCAGAAGTGTCTCCCCACAGATTGCTTATTAGTTGCAAGAGGAAAAATTTGGAGAAAAAATGGAAAAGCTGGATGTTACCTTGATTGGGTATGTAAAATCATCACCAACAAGAGTAAACAGCTGTCATGTGCCTCTTGATATGATACCTTGAAGGGCACACCATCACCTCTGTGACATTCCTGCCACAGAGTGCTTACTTTGCATCTAATTGTGAGGAAACAAACCTAAGATGAGGGAATTCCATAAAATAATTGGTCTGTATTCTTCGAAAAGAAAGACAAAGGCTAAGGAACTATTGCCGATTTAAGGAGACTAAAGAGATGTGACAACTAAATGCAATATGTGACTCTGGACTGAGCTCTTTTTTTTTTTTTTTTTTCCTTTTTTTGAGACAGAGTCTCTGTTGCCCGGGCTAGAGTGCTGTGGCGTCAGCCTAGCTCACGGCAACCTCAAACTCCTGGGCTTAAGTAATCCTCCTGCCGCAGCCTCCCAAGTAGCTGGGACTACAGGCATGCGCCACCATGCCCAGCTAATTTTTTTCTATATATTTTTAGTTGTCCAGCTAATTTCTTTCTATTTCTAGTAGAGACGGGGTCTCGCTCTTGCTCAGGCTGGTCTCGAACTCCTGAGCTCAAACGATCCACCCACCTCGGCCTCCCAGAGTGCTAGGATTACAGGCGTGAGCCACCACGCCCGGCCTGGGCTGAGCTCTTGAGTAAAATGCTGTAGAGGGCATTATTGGGACAAATGGTGAAACTGGAATATGGACTACAGATTAAAGTATTTCAGTATTAAATTTCTTGAATTGATAACTACCCTGTGGTTATGTAAAAAAATATTGTCCTTAGGAAACACACACTGAAGAATTAAAAATAAAGGGACTTGATGTGGCAACTTGCTCTCAGATGATTGAGAAAAAAAGTGTGTGCATTGTATCAATGATGATTGTGGCAAAACATTAAACTAGTGAATCTGGACAAGAGAGATTTGGAAGTTCTCCGTTATTCTTGCAACTCTTCTGTAAATTGCAGTATTTTAAAATTTAGAAAAAAAATCAAAAGGTCCTTTAAGCTGTATAGCAAAATAAATACAATGGTTTCTACTTTACTGTATGTAACTTTGGAAAGTCTTCTCTGATCTTTAATTTTCCTTTAAAAATAATATCCTTGTCTGTAGGGAATCAAAGACTCCATATGGGGTATTTGTACCATCTCAAAGCTAGATGCTCGAATCCAGCAAAAGAGAGAGGAGCAGCGACGAAGAAGGGCAAGTAGTGTCCTGGCACAGAGGAGAGCCCAGAGTATAGAGCGGAAGCAAGAGAGGTAAGGAGTGCAGGCTGATGTCAATGTCCAAGGCAGGGAGGACTCTGCATACATAATGACTTGAAGTTTCAAGTTTTTTTGTGCTTTCTCCAAGAAAAAAGTTAGAGGTGATTTCCCCCCTACAGTGACTTAAACTAGGCTCTGACAATAATCCCTGCTCAGAACTTAAACTAGGGTCTACCAATAGTCCTTGCTCCGAATAGTGTTAAGAAAAAAAATCAGAACGCTGAATAGAGAACCACAAAGTAGTATTTGGTTTGTTGGATACTTCTAGGGGAGCCTGTGTGGATTTATTTATTGATAAAAGAGCCCCAGCCTAGACTTTCTCTCAATTTTCTCCAACTGGAGATTTTAGAAAATAATTTAAAAAAAAAAAATGGTTCCACAGAAATATTTTTAGCCTTTTCTCATTAACCGACATTATAACACTGGGAGAACATTAAGTGCAGCAAAGTAATATGGTACCAACAAAAGGTATGAAACGGAGAGCTACTGAATGACAACTGGGAAATAGCCTATATGCCTTATAAGCTAAATATGTGTGGTCTTTTTCAGTGAGCCACGTATTGTTAGTAGAATATTCCAGTGTTGTGCTTGGAATGGTGGAGTATTCTGGGTAAGTTCTTTTCCCTCATATTCCAGGTGACTTATAAGCTTTTTCAAATTGTTGCTAGATTGATAGTTCTCAACTGTTTTCTTAAAAGACTGAGACAAAGAGCTTTCACCTGCTGATATATGCTTAGGAATATAACTTAGGATTCTATACATAGATAGCCCTGAATGTATACTCTGTTGCTTGGGCTAGAGTGCAGTGGCATCATCATCGCTCACTGCAACCTCAAACTCCTGGGCTCAGGCTATCCTCCTGCCTCAGCCTCCCGAGTAGCTGGGACTACAAGCATGCACCACCATGTCCGGCTGATTTTTTCTATTTTTAGTAGAGATAGGGTCTCAAGTTGCTGGCCTCAAGCAGTCCTCCTGCCTCAGCCTCCCAGAGTGCTAGGATTACAGGCATGAGCCACCATGTGCAGCCTATATACTTTTATTATTTTTTTTAAAAATGACTCATTCATCTCCACTCCCACTGCTTCACTTGACGAGCCTTAAAAAAAAAAATGACTCACAAGTTTTAGTATTGTTATAGGTAATAA